AAAATTTAGAGTAATGTTTCACCAAAAAAAAAAAGATTTAGAGTAATCACCCGACCGCGTGTATAAAAGTTGCCTCAAGCTGTCTATCACCACCGCTATTTCATTGTTCTCTTCTCTTTTGTGCTGTACAATCTACCAAGCATTTCTCTCTTCCAAACTACTGAACCAAATATGGCTGCTGATCGGATCCTCGGTTCTGTTTTGGATGCCACCTTATCCAAGGTGATTTCAGTTGTTAACGAGCAGCTCAACGTAGCTATCGGATTCGAGGAGGAGCTGAGGAGGTTTGATGGCAAGCTGAAAATGATCCAGGGTGTGTTGCAGGATGCAGAGCAGAAGGGAATGGTAGGCGACCCTGTTCTGAAGTCTTGGCTTGAAGGGCTTCGGAGTCAAGCTGAAGAGGCTGACGATATGATGGATGAAATTGCATATGAAAATCTGCGGTGCAAGGTAGCTCAAATGTCGGAAAAGGTCAGCTACTTCTCTACTCTTTTCAATCCTTTAGCTTTTCGCCTTAAGATGGCGAACAGGATTAAGAGTTTAAATTTAGAACTAGATGGTCTTAATAAGATAGCCACTGACTTAGGGCTGCAACAAAGACTTGCAAGCAAGCATCCTGAACATATAGAAACCCAACAAACAGATTCCTTAATTGATGATCCATCAAAATTTGTAGGAAGAGAAAATAAGGTCTTAGAAGTCGTTGAATCATTGATTGACTCAAGTAATGATCAACCTCTCCTTGTTGTATCCATAGTGGGTATGGGAGGCATAGGCAAAACTACTGTGGCCAAACTAGTATGTGACAATGAGCAAATACGGAGTCATTTTTTCAAATTAATTTGGGTTTGTGTTTCTGAAAATTTTAATTTGAAACAAATTTTAGTAGAGATGTTGCAAGCTTGTGGTGAAAATGTTTCTGTGGATGTAAATCAAGATATTGTAGTTCAAAAACTACAGGAAAAATTGAGGGAGGAAAAATTGAGGGAGGAAAAATTGAGGGAAGAAAAATTGAGGGAGGAAAAATTGAGGGAGAAAAATTATCTTCTCATATTAGATGATGTGTGGAATGAAGATTGGCAAAAATGGGAATCCTTGAGGAGCTGTTTGTTGGGAATAGGTAAAAAAGTTGGGAGTAGGGTTCTTATCACAACTCGAAGTGAAAATGTAGCTTCCACTGTGGTAACACTTTCTAAGCACATGCATCATCTCGAGAAGCTAACAGATGAGGATTGTTGGTATATAATCAAGCAGAGAGCATTTGTCAGTTCATCAGTCTCTTCAGAATTGGAGGGGATTGGAAGGGATATTGCTAGCAAATGTGGAGGTTTAGCGTTGGTTGCAAATGTTATTGGGGGGTTTTTGTGCAATAATATGAAGAAGGATGACTGGTTATCAATTAAAGATAATAGTGAAGTATGGGGTTCAATAGAAGAAGCTAATGGAGTTCTACGAGTGTTGCAATTGAGTTTCAATCGCTTGCCAATACCTGCTTTGAAACAATGTTTTGCTTTTTGTTCTATTTTCCCTAAAGATTTTGTCATGGGAAAGGAGATGTTAATCCAACTCTGGATGGCTGAAGGATTTCTTCAGCCATTTAGTGAAACACACTTGGAGATGGAGGATGTCGGTGATAAGTATTTCAATGCATTGTCATCATATTCTTTATTTCAGAATGTTGAAAGAGATCCTTATGGGAGCATTATTACTTGCAAAATGCATGATTTAATTAATGATCTTGCACAATCTGTTTCAAAGTCCCAAACTTTGATTTTGGAAGATGGTAGTGGAAGAAATATTCCTGCAAACATTCAACATTTGAATGTCATTTCTGATAAGGATACGACAACAACAAAATTAGGGGATGTCCCTAAAAATTTGCACACTTTGTTTTCACAAATTGATGTCTTTCACAGTATGTCAACGAACTTGAAAAAGGTGCGGGTTCTCAGTTTCTGTGGAGCTAATATTGATGAGTTGCCAGCTTTTTTGGAGAAAATGAAGCATTTAAGGTTCTTGGATGTTTCAAGAACTAGAATCAAAGAACTTCCCAAGTTCATCACCAAGCTCTATCATTTGCAGACATTTAGATTTATGTATTGCTACAGAATTGTAAGGCCTTTGGAAGGAATATGGGATTTACTCAATTTGAGACACATTTGTTTCAATGATGAAAAGCTTATGCCAGCAGGGATTGGTAGACTAACTTGTTTGAAAACATTACAATTATTTGTTGTGGGCCAACAGAAGGGACATCAAATTGAAGAATTGGGGCGTTTAAACCAACTCAGGAGAAAATTAGAGATTCGTAATTTGGATATGGTTAGAGACAAAGAAGAAGCCATGGGAGCAAGACTTTCTGAAAAGGATGCAATTCAGGAGTTGCAATTGGTGTTTGGTGAGGAATCTAGTGGTAGTGAAGATAGATGCACACAAGATGAAGACATCTTGGAAGGCCTCCAACCTCATTCAAATTTGAAAGGCCTAACCATTGAATGCTACTGTGGTAAAAGCTGTCCCTCATGGATGTTAGAAACAAAAAATTTTCTCAAAAATCTGATGTTCATGACCTTTTATGAATGTCCCTGGTTGGAAAGCATTCCATCACTTTCGCTCAGCAATGAGGCAAAGGTGGAAATTAAAAATTGCAAGAATTTGAAAAGCATTGCATGTTGGTTCCTTCAGAAACTCATCATTGAGGAATGTGAAGAACTGGTTGGGGTAGAGATTGGACCAGTTGCCATGAAGTCTCTCAAAGAAGTACACATAGAGAGTTGTGGTAAATTGGTAAATCTTCCAATGATTAGTAAATTACAATCTCTTGAGGTATTTGAACTTCAGCAATGCAAGGAATTGAAGATGATTGGAGATGATGCTCCATTTAACTCCACGTGTCTACAAGAGTTAAATATTCAGGATTGTGATAGCCTGATGTCCATACCCAGTGTAGATGGGTTGTCCTCTCTTCAAAAAATTAATATACGTTGCTGTGAGCAATTGAAAAGCATAGGAGAGGATTTATCTACTGCCACGTGTCTCAAAGAGTTGACTATATGGTCGTGCGATGGTTTGATGTCCTTTCCGAACCTCCATGGGCTGTCCTCTCTTCAAAAAATTGATATATACAACTGTGAGCAATTGAAAAGCATAGGAGAGGATTTATCTACTACCACGTGTCTCAAAGAATTGACTGTAAGCTTGTGCAAGGGTTTGATGTCCTTACCGAACCTCCATGGGCTGTCCTCTCTTCAAAAAATTGAAATAGACAGGTGTCGGCAATTGAAAAGCATAGGAGAGGATTTATCTACTGCCATGTGTCTCAAAGAGTTGACTATACAGTCATGCATTGGTTTGATGTCCCTTCCGAACCTCCATGGGCTGTCTTCTCTTCAAAAAATTAAAATAGACAACTGTGGGCCATTAAAAAGCATAGGAAATGATTTATCTACTGTCACGTGTCTCAAAGAGTTGACTATAAACTACTGCGATGGTTTGATGTCCTTACCGAACCTCCATGGGCTGTCCTCTCTTCAAAAAATTGAAATATACAGCTGTGAGCAATTGAAAAGCATAGGAGAGGATTTATCTACTGCCACGTGTCTCAAAGAGTTGACTATATGGTGGTGCGATGAGTTGATGTCCTTTCCGAACCTCCATGGCCTTTCATCTCTTCAGACTTTATATATAATGGGTTGTCGTGGATTAAGAAGTTTGCCAAGTGGGTTGCCATCATGCACTGCTCTTGAGGAATTGGGTATCGCCCATTTTCATAATCTAATCTCTATTCCAGATGATTTGAGGAGGAGTTGGAGCATCCCTAACCCTGCTTGCCTTGCTCGGCTGAAGAAGCTGACTATTGGTAATTTCTCAACAAAGCTCGAGGAATTTCCAGATCTGGGCTTCATCGGATCTCATCTTGAAGAATTGGAATTGTATGCATGGGGAAAACCAAGAGAACGTCTGCTGGATCAAATTCAACACCTAACTGCCCTTAAGTCTCTTGAAATAAGCGGTTTTGATGGACTAGAAGCTTTGCCGAATTGGTTTGGAAACTTATCCTCTCTTCAAACTCTGAAGATTCACAACTGCGAATCTTTGAAACATATGGAAGCCATCCGATGCCTCTCCAGATTAGAGAGGCTTTTTATTGAAAGATGTCGTGAGTTAGAGGAAAGATGCACCAGAGGAAGTGGTTCCGAGTGGGACTGCATCTCTCACATTCGAAACATCAAAATAGACTACAGAAGGATCCAATGGGCAGGAGCTCCCATTGAGGTATTTTCAGCCTTTAACTATATATAATAGTAAATCTTTTTTCTTTAATTCCCTTGTCTTCTTGATTGATTTCAATTATGCATTTACCTTCTTTCAATCTTTTAGGTAGTACCACTAAATCTTTTTTATTTTTTCAATTTATTTATAGTAGGTAGCAACTGAAACCAAATTTATTATCTACTACCATTGTTACCTACAATTCAAAAGCAAATTAAGTTGATAATTTCTTTTCCCTTCACTATATGTAATTTCAAGTTTTAAAATGTTATACTAATAATTTGTCCTTTCGAATGCTCTACTGCGATTCTAGATTCCTAGTCAACTGCATCAGGATGATGACAGTGAGCAGCAGGTTGATGATAATGAGCAGCAAGATGATGATAGTGAGCAACAAGTTGATGATAATGAGCAGCAGGTTGATGATAATGAGCAGCAAG